GTTCATACAACCATTTTCCGCCAATTTACCACTATTGCGGGTGAAATTTCTCAGGTCGCTGAAACACGTATTCATTAAGTTCCGACGTAGAATTTTGAAAATAAGCTTAAAGCAAATCTGACAAAACTCAAAACTTTACCAAAAAAAATCTTTGAATAGCATTTTCCACAAAGGAAGCTTTGATTCTGCGGAAAGTGTGAAACTCGTCTCAAATGATTTTCCGTATAGATCTTTGAAAATAAATTTGAGCACGAAACGTCACCCACCAAATCTTTGTCCCCCCTTTTCAACAAGGAGGAATGCAATTTTCGAAAAGTATGAAACACCTCTTAAATGAATTAGAACAAAGATATTTGAAAATGACTCTGAGGGCGATCGGATGGTAAACAAAAAAGTTTCATACACACCCTTTTCGCGATTTTTCCACACTTGCGGGTGGAAATTCCCGACACCCCGCCTTAACGTGCACCTTCATTACATAAGGTAACTACAGTGAAAGTTTCAGCTTCCTAGCTCTTACGGTTTGTTCTGTGCGTAGATCACCAATCAGTCAGTTAGTCAGGATACAGGGTATTCATGGAGACTGTAAGTTATAGAACTTTACATACACTTAAATGTTCTATAATTATAGTGTTCTACCGCAAACCTGTTGTTAACTGAACCGCGTTGAGTCCGAAATTTCAAATTATCTTTTATTAAGAACCGAATCTATAACCATATCCATCCCAAAAAAAACCATTAGATAACAACCAAGGTTTGTACCAAAAATTGGGTTCGAAAATGAAAAAAAGACAGGTGCAAGAGTAGAACATAAAGACGGAGTTGGTTTTCGAATGGCTCTCGTGAACCGAACCACTAATATTTCTTTTTGGCTTTGGAACTTGTTAATTGCTTTTATGAATTAAAGTAAATGAATTTTAAGTTGATTAAAGTCAAAGATCATTTACATACCAAATTGTCAGACTCTAAGTTAACAGATCTCTGAGTTGGTCAAGTGTATTAAGTAGCATGAGCTGAGATTGTCATAAAGTAAATGCATTTTAGGTTGATAAAAGTCAAAGATATTTTACGTACCAAATTTTCAGACTCTAAGTTAACAGATCTCTGAGTTGGCCTAGTGTATTAAGTAGCCGTAGCCGAGGCTACGCTTTTTTGTTAGTTTTCATTTATTTTTTAAAAGTTGCCAAATAACTTCCCATAAATAAAATCATTATTTTTTGTTTTTGTAATTAAATACTTTTCAATTTTTATTTTGCTTTTGTCGGTTGCCTGCCATTTTAAAATGTTGAATTTTGAGAAGAACTCATCAAATATTTTGCTGAACTTCTCTACATTTCGCTCATCTGTTGCTTTGCTATTTTTATATACTTATCCGCTAGTCTTCATAATACATTAAATATTGATTTTTATAATTCTTTAAATAAGTTTTAATCTTTTTTTTATTAACTTTTATTGATTTGATTTGATCTAACAACGTCTGGTGCCACGAGTTTGGCTGCACTAGTGTTGGCAAACGTTTCAATTTCGAAGAGCTAGTGCTACACAATGTTTACAATTCTTTACGATAAGCAACTGTTATTTACAAATACACACAGAAATAAATATTAGTATGTTTTATTATTATTATTTATTTATTTTTGGCAACTGTTTTGGTAACTACTCGCATTAGAACTATGTCAATTTTGTGTGTGTTTAAACGTCCAGTTTGTGGGCGTGGCGTTTGTCTAAACTGAATAAATATTGATACTGTGTAAATAGAAATATTTGTTTAATATATTTTATTTGCACTGTTCTATATACTAGAACTCGTTCATATTTTCTTTTATCTGTATTTATATTTATATATATATATTTGTATTTCTTATTGATATAAACTATGCATCGAATATTTGGCAATTAGTTTTTTTGTGGTTTGTAAAATGCGCAAAATTAAATGCAAATATCTGCGCTGTGTTTTATTTATTGTTATTTCATATCTTAGTATTTATTAAACACAGAATATTTGTATATGTATATTTAAAATTGCAATTTTAAATGTTGTTCTTCTTGTATGTACAGCGCAATTAAGTTTAATTATTGTAGTTCTTTTTTTCTGTTAGCTCGAAAGAGAGATTGTTTTATATTTCTGGCCATGTTCAATTATGTGCCTTTATTTAAGAGCCAGCCAACTGCCGTAAAAGCAACTTGTTTTCACATAACTTGCCCAAATCAACCGCCCCATCCGGTTTAATATGCTGTAAAAGCCATTTAGCAGGCAAATAATTAAACGTCGTACTCAAACAAACAGTTTATTAACTGTGCAGTGAGTGACTAAAATTTGCCCAAAAAGTGAGCCCAAGTTTGGGCCTGGAATGTGACCTAAAAGTGTCAAATAACGAATTAACTCATTGGAGTTTTCTTCTAACGCAATTTTACTCGTACGCAGCTAAAAAGTTTGGTAAGTAAATCTTGGCCAGCTGGGCATGTCATAAGCAAGAGAAAACCTTCATTAAATTTGACAATGCCCTCAGCCCTCTACCCAGCCGCATTGTGTTTATATGGCACCATTGTAGTCCAGTTTTTCTGCTATGCTGGCAGAAATGTGCACAAAAAAATCTGCCGCCCTTTCTACTTCCACCCAACTGTCTCATCCGGCAGTCCAACAAAAAATGGCAGCCTGACACTTGCCCACTTGGAACTTCCTTAATTAAGATTTTGAGCGTTCTCCCTTATTTTTGCCCCTTACAGCATCCTAATCCCGCCCGAATTAGGGCGTCGGGCATCGAGCGTCGGGCATCGTAGATTGTTGGTCAGCATTACTTTAATTGTTGTTAGCCCGCTTTAGGTTCGCATTTCGCTTTTGTGGCCAAAAATAAATCCTTCTTCTTCTGAATTGCTTGAGAAGAAACGCTTGAACGCCTGTTGTTAGTGGCTGAAACTCTTGCCTACGCTCCCATTACAGATACATTTGTATCCGCATCTTTATCTATCTTCCTGTTGCTGTTGCTCTTGTTCTTCTTGTATTCCAATTACAAAGCCACAAAAAGTTGAAAAACTGTGCAATGACTGTGGCTTTGGGTTCGCCGCTTTGCCGCCCTGCTGCCCGGCAGCCCGGGCTCTGACTCGCAAGATTGTTGCACAACTTTTTATCGTGTCTTAATGTAATTGTTGTGTTGTACCTCCCCCCCTTCGCATCCTTGCAACCCCACACAACCATACATTTCTCTGCCCTCATGAAGTCGTCGTCTTGTAATTTGATTTGCTGGCACATTATTTTGATGTTGGCCTCTGCCAGTCCAGGCCGGAGCCGGTCTCCAGACATTGCCATTTTTCACATATCTTTCAAATAGTTTTACAACATTCCACATTTGCCGTGGCGGATTAGTTGTCTGCCCATTTGGCTGGATTTACACCATATGCTCACTGTTGGTCAATTTATAAAATGAGGTTAAGTGCGGGGGATTCGACAAGTGCCAAATAACAGCAAATGGGGTGCAGAACGAGGGCATATACTTCTATAGTAGAGCAATTGCTGGGGCTGCTGGCTATTGGGGGCTGTCAATACGAACCGTAAAAATAGAAATAAAATAAAACCTGAAGGGTTTTCTGGGAGAACGGTGTGCCTCTTGTTGTGACTTTGTTCGAGCCAAACTCGAAATTTTAATTAGATTGCGCAAAGTGGGTTAAGGAGCCACTGAAGCAGTTGGCTTTTAAAGTCCATTAGGAACAAGCTTTGGCTTGAAAAGGAAAATCTATCAAGAGTTTTATTTCAAGTGAAAGCTAAATGCGTTTTGCTGTTTCTGCTTTGCACTTTAATTGCGTAAATTGTCTAATTACTTAGCCCTGCCGCTCAGCTAGTAAAGGTTTTAGTTCGAATTTTCTTCTACTGAATGAAGTACTAAAAGCAATATGCAATAAGAAATATATATTTTTGTTATGAAAAAGTATCTTGGAGCTACCATTCAACACATTATATCTCGAGTGAAGCAAAAAGTATCTATGAGATATTTAAATATCTCTTAGCTTAAAGGCTTGTCGGATTTGAATAGAAATGATTTCCTTTAAGTGAAATTAGGAGATTAATAGATGGTAAAAATATATTTTAGAGCATAAGTTTGTCATGAATTATGCAAAAGTATCTTAAAGTAAAAGCAAAGGTCTCTCAGACACTTTAATTCTTTGATTTTTAGAGGAAATCTAATCGTCTTCTCCGAGCATAAACTTATCTGAAGTTTATCATTATCATTGAGACATTTAAATATCTCTCAGCTAACCGTTTCTTGTAAGCAAAGTCTATGAAGAGGTTACCAAATGTCAATATTTATGATTGAAGTATAAAAGTATATTGAGTATAAATACCTTTTTAAAAACCATAAAAATGTCTCATGTTAAATTATACAAATTTGCGCTCGATCTAGACATAAGTTCACAATTAACAGCAATAGTAAATTGAGCCTTTTTGTTCTCTTGCGGTCCTTGTAATGCGCATTGATGGCTCGAGCCTTTGCTGACTTTGGGTCATAAACTAAATTGTTATTTAATACTTTATCGATGTATTTCATTTTTATATGCATGACTATCAAAGCACTTAATCTTGGCCAACGGACAGGCACTCATACGCATACATAAAGTTAACTGGCCAACATACACGCACACACGAACACACGAACACACGCACGGCTCTGGCCCTGGTGTAAACTGACCCAAATACGACCACTAGATGGACATCAAATTGAAGGCGAGAGGTGTGGGTTGGGAGGGGCGGGCTTGGAGCGCGTTTGCCTGATGGCCCATAAAATGTTGCTGGCGGTGGTTATTTGGCTGCTCTTGGCTGCTTTTTGGCTATTTGGCTGCTTGCCGCCATACGCGGCGTATACGTAACGAAACTTTATGACAAATTGTTGCTGCTAACCTAGACACTAAGAGGCCTGCCACGTGTGTGGCCAACATGAGCCATAAATCAAACATGACTAAGCGAACACACACACATACATATATATATATATATAAATAAATCTCTGTGCATGCATATCTATATCTCTCTGCGATGCTGCTGCCAGTTGCTTTCTGACTCATTTTGGCCGCTGACTATTGGGCTTAAAACTATGCAGAAGGTTTTCTATATTTGTATATATATTTCTATATATTTGCCCTTGATTCACTGTAGTGTTGCGTATTGTCGCTGCCCGAACACGGTTTGTCACCAGATGCCCAGGCGACGCGTGCCGGGCGCCATCAGTTTGCTGCTCATCGAACGCAGCGTCGCTGCCGACGGCGCCAAAGCACCGCCCAGCTGTGTGGCAGCCACGCCCGTGCCGGCGGTGCGTCTTGTGCTGCTGCTGTTGCAGTTGCTGCTGCCGCTCAGCAGCTCCATGGGCAGGCTGGGCATGCCGCTGGAGGCTGTCATGGGGCTGCTGGGCGCCATCTCTATATAGTAGCTATCCTCGTTGCTCGGCGAGTGCAGACTGCTGCGACTGCTGCCCGAGGAGCAGCCGCTGCCACTGCCGCTGCCGCTGCCAATGGAGCTGTCCGCCAACGAAGCGCTGTAGAACTGTAGCTTCTGCTGCTCGCGCTGCAGTTCACGTGCCTGCAAATTGTGCAGCGGCGAGCTGTATGGCGCCTCGCGTCTGGTGCTGTGATGCCAGGCCCCCAAACGGGGCGGATTTGCATGCCGGGAGCCCTGATAATGCAAAAAGCTGTCCACATCGTCGCTCTCATTCAGCTGGCGCTGATGCTGCTGATGCGGTCGCTGCTGGGCACGTGGACTGCGCTGCCAGGGTAGCTCACAGCGATAAACATGCGCCAGGCCGGCGAGCAGCACAATCACCAGGACGCAGGCCAGCAGCAGCATCAGCCCCGGATGGCTGCCATTTAATGTCTGTTGCGTTTCCAGGCGTGTCGCCAGCAGCTGTGCGGACTTGGAAGCTTCCGTCTTCAGCTCCACAAAGGCCTTCAGCTGGGCGAATGTGCTCAGCTGCTGTTTGACCGCATTGGGTGTGTTAACGCTGCTGTGTTGGTGTTGTGGGCGTGTGCCAGGTGTTGTTGCTGTTGTGCCTGCTATTGCTGTTGTTGTTGTTGGTGCTAGTGTTGCTGTTGATTTCTTGATTGCTGCATGCTTCGTGCTGTAGGTCATCTTCTTAATGCTCAGCGAGGGCTTCTTCTTGTGCTGTTCCAGCTCCAGCTCTAGCTCCGTCTGTGCTGTCGCCTTTGTGTCGCCCTTTATTGCTTCCGCTTGTCGCTTATCAGTCGTTTCCTGTCGCTGCTGCTGCTGCTTCAGCTGGCTGTCAGCCAGCAATGTTTCCGCATCCGCCACTGTTGCCGTTCCGGGCAGCAGCAATTGCTCCGCATCTATCAGCAGGTTGTCGCCCTTGTGCATCAGCAGCGGCGTTCCAATAAGATGCCGATCTTTAATATGCAGCTGCAGCGTGGCATGTTTATGTGTCGGCTTTGCGTCCTGACCGGAAGTGTCACTGGGCTGTACAGCGGCAGCTGTTGTTGCTGCTGTTGCTGTTGTTGTTGTCTCTGTTGTTGTTGTTGTTGCTGCTGTCTCTTTTAATACACTCTTGGCATGCTTGTGTTTGCTATCAGAACTTAAAAGCGCCAAAATTGTTCGTGGCACAGCGACTGTTGCTGTTGTTGCTTTGGCGACCGCAGCAACATTGCTAATGTTTGTTGGCCTGGCTAGTCTAGGCGGCGCTGTGGTTGTTGCTAATGTTGCTGTTGTTGCTGCTGGCGGCGTTGAGCTGCTTGCCAAAATGTTTGTGCGTTTGGCAGCGCGTTGCAAACTTGGCACGCCAGCGGCTGTGGCAGTTGCAATTGTTGTTGTTGTCGCTGCTGCTTCTGCTGTTGCTCCTGGTGGGGTTGTTACTGCTGTTATTGCAGTTGGCATGCCAGGCATTTGTTGGCGCTGCAGTTGCACTAACGAAGTTGTTTCAGCTGGCCCTAAAGTTTTTGCGGTTAGCAGCGCAATGTTGTTGCCGCTTGATTGCATTGGACTTGTGTGTGTTGCTGCTGTTGTTGCTGCTGCTGCTTCTGCCACTGTTGCTGTAGATGGTGCCTTTGACTTTTGCACTTTTGGCATAGTTGCTTGTGTTGTTGCTGCCGTTGCCTGGCTGCAAGTGGGCGGCATTGATTTGGACAGCTCGGCTGCATCATTTACTTCATTTGCCACGCCCCCACAAGTGCTGCTAAAGTTATCGTTAAAGTTCTGCAACTGCACGTAGCGTCGCTTCAAATCGATGCCGCCCATTGTACGACCCAAGTCGACACTGCGACAGGGACTTGCCCATTCGGCAATGCCCAGCAGATCGCTGCACCTGATGGGATTCTCCTCCAGCAGCAGATCACGCAGCTGCGGCAGCGTATGCACAATCGACTGACTGACCGACTCGATACCCGCCGACTGTAGATTCAATGTGAGCAAGTTGGCCAATGGAAGCGCCGGCAAATACAACAAACGGTTGCCGGATAGATCCAAGGTTTTCAGATTTTTCAGCCCGACGAACGCCTGTGGCTGCAGCTCCATAATGCGATTGTGCTGCAGGAAGAGATGCTCCAGCGAGGTGGGCAAGCTGTTCGGCACACGCATCAGGCTGTTGTGGTCAAGAAATAGCAGCTCGAGCAGTTCCAGACGACCCAGTGCATCATCCTCCAGCTGCGCAATGTGCGAGTAGGACAGATCCAAGTACTGCAACAGTGGATAACTGTCCAAATCGCCGCAATTTATTGCCTGCAAATGCAAGATAATAACAAATGAAAAATTTATTTTATTTTTATACCCGTGTTGAGATTATGATAATTGTAACGAATAGAAGAAACGATCCAATTAAGTATATATATTCTTGATCAGTAACTGTGCATCAATCCGTCTTTCTGTTACAGGCAGTATATATACCTGAAATGCCGGAAGGTATATTGTTTTACATTGTACTATTGAAGTGATCGTACAGACAAAGCGGACACTCAAACCTTCGTAGTATTTTTTAAAAGAAGGAAATCCTAATATTATTTTTTTGTGCTTGATTTTGCAGTCTAACCCTTTTGTTTGTCTTTAAAGTGAAGGAATGTCCTTGGGTATAAATCTGTCTGGGGTTAAGCTTTAACGAACTTTTAGTTGAGTGTTGGAAATTTGATTAGTGCGAGAAGCGAGTGACTTGCTGACATTGTTTAAAAATTAACTTGAATCAGCCGTTATAATTACTTCAAAGGCTGGTCGGATGCCATTGCCCCTTTTGGTAGTTCCCGTTGCCGTTGCCGGTACCATTGCCCCAAGCGCTGCTCGTCTGGGGCCAGAAAGTAAACATAGACGCGACTCATTAAATGAAACAAGCGCCAAACACGGAGCCAGCCATCCAGCCATCGAGCCAGTCAGTCAGAGAGGCAGACAGGCGGCCAACCGAACAGCCGCTGCTGCCGTCGATGCCCTCGGGCGCAGTTGCCACAGACGGGCGGAAGCGTTGGCTGTGGCAGAGACGTCGACTCTAAACGCCATAATTTGCCATGAAAAGGCTGCGTGTTGACTGGCGATAAAAGGCAGCTGTGGGGAGCAGCTCCAGGAGCAGAGTACGAAGCAGCAGCAATGGCAGACAAATTAAAATGCCTGCTGCCTGGCAACACAAAAGGATCCTGTAAAGCTCACAAGGAGCGCAACGCAATTGCAACTAGTTGGGCTCTCGCTGTCTTAGCCTGTCTCAGCTGCTCGTTGGCTGTTGGCTTAAACGTGATTATGCTTATGCCAATTATCCTTATTTTATTAATGCCCAGTGTCGAGCGAGCGCCTTTGTCTCTGTCTTTTTTTCTTTTCCCAGCAAAGCTTACGAATGGCATTTTTGCACCTTTTATGGCATTTGCCATAATCGGCAACAGCAGCAGCAGCAACAGCCATTTATAAGCCGCATTTGTTTTTCTATATGTACTTGAGGCTGTTAAGGCTTAGTTAATACCCAAGCGAAGCCCCTAAACGGCTGGGTACGTGCTTTATGCTTATACTGCAATCGGAACACTGTAGTTGTAGACTATAAATCAGTTTATCGTTATTTCTTGTTACCCTTACATCGGGTAATCTGTGTTTGCGAAATTGTTTGCCCCAACTAACTGATGATAAACGCGGATAATATTTTACACTAGTCTCTTTTTCTTCTGAAATTTAATAATTAGTCGGGGTTTCAAATGATTCCTGCCGAAAGCTGACAGACTGAATGATTGAATAACTGACCGACTGACTTATGATAAAAGTACAACTCAAGGCGTAATATCTAGATAGCTGAGTTGAAATCAATATTAGGTTTTTTGGTTGACTGACTGACTGACTGACTGATGATAAACGCACAGCACAAAGCGTAAAAGCTAGACTCCTGAATGTTTTACAGTAGCTGCATTTTGCAATAAAATTCAATAATTTGACAGGTTTTCCAATGATTCTTCCGTCGGATTGACAGACTGAATGAAAGACTGACTGATGATAGACGTACACCTCAAAGCTTAATATCTAGACACGTAAATTTTTCACAATAGTTGCCTTGGGGAATCAAATTAAATAATTTAATAATTCATTTCGAGAGGTTGACACTCTGACAGATTGACTGACCGATTGACTGACTGATGATAAACACGCAGCCCATTTCAGAGATTCAAAATAAAATAATTGGATGAGATTTGTGAGAAAATACTCTCGTCTATAAAATCGATAGAAACTAGTTTAATGAAACGTCTTTTTCGATCATTCAATTTTAAACTTATTTTTTTTTAATTTATAATTTATGAGATGTGCTTTTACTTCTTGTAGAATCCACATTCTCATTGAAAAGAAGTAGCTTGATATCAGATGACTACATGGTACTTTTATCACATGTCTGTTAGATTATTTTAACTTCGTTAGCCACTCTTTAACGCCGGCCCCAATTAAATATGCAAACCCAACTAAAGTCAGCTGACAGCAATCCTTTTACAGTCGTTGTAAACGCTAATCGCCAGCTTAACTGGTCTGTCCTTCCGTTTGTCTGTCACTCATAACCGCTGTGGAGCTTTTAAACTTATTTTATTGTGCATTGTTTTTCCTTGGCATTTGTGAAAAGTGTGAAGTGCTTTTAACATTTCCATTGTGTGGTCGCATTGTGATTTTAATTACGCTCTAGCACTGACTAAGTGGCCGACTAAGCACCGTATAAACGTTCGCGACACACAGAATAATGCAGAGAATAACTGCTTCTGAAGAGCTAACAAAAATTATCGGCTTATTTATGACCTAAATAACGGTCGCCTTGAAATTCTTTTTAAATATTGGCTCATAGTTATGTTCAAGCCTTAATCAGATTGATTTTTGGGTATTTCAGTTAAGAAGACGATACAAAGTCTTCAGTTATGAAGAAAAAATTAATAGGAAACTTGTAGTCAAAGAGAAGAAGTTCGATAGCATTTGTGAGTTGTACTCATATACGTAATGGTGGGCTAAAAACATATAAACTTTTATTAAACAATATGATTATAATCCTATAATAAATGTATATAATAATATGTGGCTATTGAATATGAAATATTGACTATGGATAGAAATTGCGTGAAAGTTGGAGAAAATAAGTAAATATAAATAGTTTTCTGCTAGAAATATTTAAAATATCGTAGGCACAAACTATAAGATGTGTCAACCATTTTTTCAAATAGAAACAAAATATATAATTCGCCTCATAGCGGGGCTTGGAAAGCTGAGTCAGTTCAATGGCACTTCTGTAGAATAATGAGGCAAAAATTCAGGTATGTTCAATAAACAATAAATACAAATTGAAATACGTCTAAAATTTGTTATATCTTCCTGACATATCAATTTCTTCATATTTGCATATTTGCAATTATTTTCGCTGCATCAGAGTGTTCTAATCAATAATATTTATGTGGAGAATTTTCTTTTTAAGCTCGAGAATGTGGCGGCACATAAAGTAATTTAAAGCTCGGCGACAATGTGCGCCCTGCGCCCCACGGGGAAGCGACCCCATGCCGTGTTCGGGGCCGGAGCCGGAAGTGCGAGTCGAGTGGCAACAAAATGGCGGCGTAAATTTAAAAATAACAAAGTGTAAATCATACGCCCGGGTGAGATTTTTGTGTGCGTGGGTAATCGGAGCCGGGAACAGGCACAGGCAGAGGCACAGGCGCACTCAAGCACACAGCCAGAGCCGACCCGGACCGCAAAACAGATGCTAATTAATGGCAGCAACGGGAACTGGTTCGCCCCCCAGTGCTACCACCACCGCCATGCACACCAGCGGAGGGCTAAAGAAAAAGTGCGTGGTTGGTCTTGCGAATGTGCCGTTAATTGCCGACAAAAGCGTCAAAATTGCGGTTCATTGGCTGCACACAGACGGAAAAACGAGGATATTCGCGCGAGAGGGAGCAGCCAGACATACTTGTGCTTGATGGTTACGCTAATTTATTGATTACAGCGTGCGGGTACTAGTCGGGAGTGCCTGACTAGCAGATACCCAGCGATATGGTGCTTTTGCAAGCAATCTAATATCCTTCTATACACACACTTCCGATTCTTCCCTTTACCCTACTCTATGTATGGGATATGTATCCTTCATTAATTTCGGTTTTTACGGTCCGATCGTTATGAAATCTTCAGAAAATAAATAAGACATCAAAACGTGCGTGAATACCAAGACTATGCCTCCAAAAATTAAATTGCAACAATATTCGAGGAAACGATATAAACTGAAGTGAATACCACATTTGGTGCCTCTATAGCTGCTATAAGCTCCAATATATGCTCAAAACACAGCATATCAATATCGATTTTTATCGATTTTATGCAAACCAAAGGGTTATCAGATATTAGAAACTTAATCTACAGCTACCATTGGAAGATCTGCGTTTCAAATCTTAAGACTCCTGCACTAATAGTCTCTGAGATCAACGCGCTTGGAATTGTTTGCTAAATATACATACTTTATGGTAACCGAGATGCCTTCTTATGCCTGTTGAAAATATGTGCACATAGCTAGAATACCTTATTTTTAATACACTTTCAATGGGTACAGGGTACTAAAATGCGCTAGCTGCTTACCTGAAGCCAGTTGTGCGAGAGTTTGAGCGTGCGCACAGATTGCGCCAATGCAGCGGGCACCTGGCACAAGCCGGTGCCACTGGCATCCAGATCCTTGAGACTCCAGGAGGCGACAAACTCTTGCATGGCTGCGCCCACCAGCGGATTATATGCAATGGACAGGCTCACCAGATCGGGTATGCCCTGCAGGGCGCGTATAGCCGAGCCGCTCAGCTGATTGTGCGACAAATCCAGATGCTGCAAATTGGGCAGCGCCAGAAAGGATTCATAGTCGATATCCGTTATGTTGTTCCAGCCGAGCAGCAGTGTTTCCAGACCAAACAGATTATAGAAGGCCTGCCTGGCTATGGCACCGCCCAGCTCATTGTGTTCCAGATTCAAATGCTTGAGCTGGGGCATGCGCTGCGCAAAGAAGCTGCTGCTGCTCCTGTTGCCGCTGCTGGTGAGCTGGCTAAGCTTGTTCCAAGATAGATCCAGTGCGCTCAGCGTGGCGCTCAGAGCGGGCAGCAGGGTCAGCGTGTTGTTGCATGCGCTCAGCTGCTGCAGCTGCGTAAAGTTCTGCAGCTGCAGGCTGTTCAGACAATTGTGGCTCAGATCCAAGCGAGTCACCAGCTCAAATTGGCCCTGATAGTTCTGTTGGCTATCATAGGCGCTCAGGCCTTGCCGCGTCAGATTCAGCAGCGTGGCGGCCTCTGTGTGTGCCTCGCGCTTCTCGCGCAGCGGCGACTCGCGCTTGTGCTGGTAGCGCAGCTCGGCTTTGTAGTGGGCCGCCGTTGCGTGCTCATCGCGCAGCATGCGGCGCACGCTCTGATAGCTGAGATGTTGCAGCGACAGTTGCCGCTCCTGCTGCTCGGCGGCGGCATCTGTCAGGGTTAATGCCTGCACGCTGCACAGCAGCAGGGCTAGGGCCAGGCCCAGGCCAACCAGGGCATAGTGTTGGGCCAACATATTTGTGTGGGCGGCTGCCTCGTTTATTTTGCAGTTTTTTTATCCTTATTTTTTTCCGTTTAAGGGTTTGGACTTTAATTTCACTTGAAATTTATGCGCTGTACGTGCAGACGTTTAGCGCTGTTTGAGAAATTTGTGGAATATGGCCAACGTTTTGGACGTTTCATTCATTTGCCTGCCATTTATTCATACATTCATGCACTCACGTACTCCAGAAGGCCTGCCTGTTGGCTGGCCTGCTCTCAAATTTTTTTTATTTTCTTTTTTGAGGGGGCGTCACGTGCGCGCCTCTGTGCTCGACCGTGTGACAACTGTCAACAGTTTGACAGCTTTGCCGTACGCGTGAACTTCCGGTGCGGCGCGGCGGCCATTGTTTATGGAAAAAAGCGTTGCCTACTTTTCAGCGTCGCACGCTAAATATGCTGAATTTTTAATTAAATATCAACTTGGCCATCAGCTTTTCAATTGTTGTTTTTTCTCACTGTTTACAATTGTTTTACTTATTTTTTGTCCTTTTCTGTGCGTCGTTTTTTTTGCTAATTGCTGCACAAAGCGCCGTTCAGCTTCAGCAAATGTCAATTAAAAAGTGCGCATCGCTTCACCTGCTTTTCTGGTGCTCGTCGCTTGTTGTTGCTGTTGTTGTTAGAACTGACTGTTGTCGCATAACAACGTCAATTGTTCCCCTGGCGTCGTCGCGTGCTTAAAATCTGTAATGAAACGTACAACAAAAAATGTAATTACGCTTGTTATTGCCATTGTTATTGTTGTTGTTGCTCTTCGCATGCAAAGTGCAAAAAAGCAATGGTAAAAAAGGTAAACTTCTTTATAATTTGCTGAGCATTCGCTTTGTGTCTGCACTTGACTTTGTTTTTTTGTGCATACCCTTGCAGAGAAAGTATTGTATTTATGTCTTGAATCTTGTAACGCCTGAAAGAGACGTCTGTGACTACATATGGTTTATATATGTAAGTAGGGTGAGAAGCTGATTTCGTATACAGCTGATGATCTGTCTGTCAGGTAACCTAAGATAAATTCAGATTATCTCTTAAAGATGTGAATTTTTGTTGCAGGTCAATATATAAAAGCTTTCTCAATACAAGCATAAACATTGGTCCAAAATTGTCTATTTGTAAAGTTTTTGAAGATATTTAAATAACAAACCAGCAATATTGAATACCTCCTCTCATAATAGATCGCAAATTACTTGTCTTCAGATCACAAATATATTCGCTGCTGTGTAACAACAAGGGTATTTAAACTTCGGTGCCCCAATGAAATTAATGTTGTTTCTCTTTTTTTCATACACTTTTTTTTTTGCCCGTGCTTCTTTTTAATTTGAGCTCAAGCTTTACGACTTGAAAGCGCTTTGGCACTTTGCCTTAAGTGTTATTTTTATGTTGATTGCAGCTAATGAAATTATAATTTCAACACGCTTAACAGCCAGCCATAATTTGGCTACAACGTTACAGGAACAGGCAGGGGGAACGAGCTCTGTAGCCGGGTCAGAAGCGAGTGGCACACATGAGGCACCTTTTCTGACCGCGTGTCAGCCGCATGCCACTAAGCCCTGGTTATAAAACCAGCATATGTGCGCTAGCATTTGTATTTGTGTGAGTGTAAGTGTGTGTGTGTGTGCGATATATAAATCATTTAACTGGGTCATTTCATTTCCGTTGCAGACAAGCGACAGGAAACCCACTGCATAACCCACAACTGTCAACAGACAACCCTCGGGGGCGGCCGAAAACGACGCAAATTTGATTTACTTCTTGTCGCCGTAATGATGCCCAAATGTATGCCTAGGACCTTATTTTTGTGAAGTACCAATCTGCCGAAAATTAATTTGTCAATGTCTACTTAAAGTCAAAATTGCCAATTCGCTTGCTACGAGCGGCTATATGGGTTCTAGTATACGGCTTGTCACTCAAGGTTTTGAATGGGCTGTGCCTTATAAAATATGTTTTATATCAGGTTATGGGAGAAACATGGTAAAGATAGAGGACATCACTAGTAAGGATAGCTATATTTATTTCTGACTAGTTGGGCTAAGACATCAACTTTTCCTGCACGTAGTATATTGAAAATTTTAAGTCGCTATTCTTCCCAGCTAAACCGATTTTCCGTATTCGATCGATCACATTTCAGAAAACCTTTTACATAGCTATTTGAAAATTAGATTGAAGTCGATTAAAGAAGAAAGTGAAATGCAGTAACCAGGCTTTCGCCCATTTGGGGAGAATTTTGAAAGTTAGTTTAAAAAGCCTTGAACTTTCGCTCAAGACCTCAATTTTCCACCCAGAAGCAATAGGTGGATTTTTCAGAATGTGTGAGACACAGCTCACAGATCTTAAAAAATGAATTTGAAGCCTAAAACATAAAACCGTCTTTCATCCATATTCCACAGCTACAAGAGAACGTTTTCAAAACCGCGTCTCAGCGTGCAGTTACATTCCCAAAAGTACCTACAAACTAGACAAATGTTAACTTCCAATCAATCAGTCAATCAGGGCAAATAGATTGATCAGTCGATTAGCCTGTTACTCAATTCATCTCTTGATTTTTAACTCTATAAAAACTTCAAAGACGTACAAATTATTACGTTCTTTCATAAATACCAATCGGTCTTATCCTGTTCACATTTTCTTCCTTTCAAATCAATGAAATTAAATAACATTTGCATGCTTTCATTTACACTCTCCATTGTTGTCCTAAATTTATTTTTACTTGAAAGCTGTCTACAGGGTTTTATCTAGTCGAACTAGTCTTTGAATTCTTTTTTCGAGCATTTCTATTTGGATGTTGTGTGTAATGTACATATGTTGTTTATGGGAATTGTTAAACCCATAAATGTTGTTGTTTCTTCAAATTACACACAAGCACACAAATACACACCCATACATATTCATATATATATATATACATATACATTAGTGTAAACAAATTTAAAGGCATCGCTGGTTCACATGAAGTTTATTGACAAATGCTATCAAGGAGCTGGCATTTCATTTCACATCTCGTTTGCTTACGAAACAGTCAAATGTAGGCCATAAGTTTAGCGACAGACTTGGCCAAAGACCTCCCCAGCGCCCCCCTCACAGCCGCAATACATCCCCTCTTTATGCCAGCCAGACAGATAGATGATGTACACAAGTCAGTTGACATGAAAGTCGATTTAAAAAAAAAAAAATACCATCAACAAATATATAACAGCAATATCAGAAGCAGCTAAAACAACATGGCCAAGGACAGCTGTCTCTGTGTCTGTCTGTCGGACTGTCTGTCTGTCACCCCCCCACTCAACCCCTGCCATTACCGAGTACCCCCGTCCGGAGTCAACAGTCAGGGGGCGCGTTTGTTTTTTGGCTTTATTTTTATTTTTTTTTCGGAGTCTGCCTGCGTTTGTCAGTTTATTTAATGGCAGCTTGAAAATAATTTGCGAATTGCTCTGCCAAATATATTTTGCTTTTGCCTAGTCTGTATTTTATGATTGAGCATTACCGAGGGTGGCCAAACCCCCACCCAATACCGGCCAAAAGTCGAATATTTATGTGAAAGGCTTGTCGCATTTGTTTATTTTTTTTTATCTCTTACTCAGTTAATCAAATGCAGAGGACAAAGGGCAAACAGTTCGCTGATGCAGCACATTTAAAGTGCATCCTATTATGCCATGTAAATAGAGCGAACGGGAATACCGAAGCCGCTTTGGATAAGCTAATATGTAGATGCAGCAAATGCTATAAATAGAGAGAGAGAATGAGGGGCAACTTCGTTACGCCGAAGATTAAATACCCTTGTAGACCAAGCACTAGAATTCTACAACTGACCGATTCCTATTACATTGCTATATGATATAGTAGTCTGATGTTGATCAAGATTTGCTCATATGTAAGTGGTAAACCTCGTGAATTATTCTGAAAAAGAAAGTCGGAATGTTTAATCAAGACTTTATATACTTAATACGTAGTCAGAACTGTCACCTTCTATGCGCTACAAATTCCAGGATAGAATTTTATTAGCCCCTGCAAGTGCAAAAAACTCGTTGCTTTAATAATATTCAGGACATTGTGCGCTGCACTGAAATTGGATGTTGCTGGCAGCAGCATGCAGCTGCCATACGTCAACGATTTATTTTATAGAAATTTAGCCGGCATAACGTCTTGCACCCCATGGTCGGGCCCGAGTCCCAGACCAATCCCACTTCGAGTCGACTGCAACATGGCTTTATCAGTGCGCAGCTTGTGCTACAAAATGCAAATGGCATTTGACGGCAAGGACAACGCTGTCGCCGAATGCATTCCTCATTGAGTGCCTCCTGGCTGTCTCCTTGAGATACGTTTTTTTCGCCACACAGTTTCTTGCTTCAGTTGCGCGCTCAATTGCGCAACAAAATACAAAATTGTATCTTTGCCCCCGTCTGGCCCATGCATAATGCAGTGTTCAGATCTGCTTTGTGTGTGTGTGAGCGTGTGTGTGTGCGTCTGGGTGTGCAGTGTGTATTTGCATCTCACGTAAAACTGCAGCGACTGCTGGCTCAGTTAGTTTGGACTGTGTGGCTGTTGGATTTTGTGTGAAGTGCGCACTTTATATACCCTTGCCTTATCCTTTAAAATGCTTAAAGTAGTCAAATAAAATGATTTAGTAGACACGTTTATGGTCGATCTTGTCATGTTCTATATGGCAGTCTATCTTCATTCTTTCCTATAATACCCCATGGATTCCAGAATCTATAGCACCTAGATACATTTAAAGATACATACTTAAAACTTTGCATATTAGACTTTGAAATATTCAAAATTAAAAATTAAATTGTAAATCTTAAGAGTGTTGCAGACATATGTGGAGCTAGTTTCTTCTTAGCGTTAATCATTATTGTCATATCATTGATAATATCGTAACAGTTAATGGGTATATATCGGTCGATCATGCCGGACAACAGCTTGCCTGCTTGTCATGCATGTGCTTGTGCGCTCGCTTCTTCTACACTATTTTTCCCTGAGCTGCTGTTTTAATAAACTTCCGCTTTGTGGAAGTTTTACACAGTCGGCCGCCCGCTGCGTCTGACATGTATTCAATGCCGGCAACTGCATTGGGTATCCTTCATCCTTCATCTTTTATCCTGCAGCCTGCAGCCAGTAGCCTGCAGCCTGTAGCCAGCTGCATCTGTGTCAATGTCAACATTGGCAGGACGTGCGAGTTTGTCACTTTCAGTTGAGCTCGTGGCTCTTAAACTCGGACTGAAATCTTTAAGCAAAATGTCCAACGCTTTGCAAACAATTTGCCAGCGCATGCCTTTGTGATTTGTTACCAGCCATCAATGGGCGGTATTTTTTATTCTTTTTGGTATTTTTTTTCCACTGCGCATAAAAGTTTTCAAATTAAACTTTTTTTGTTCAGTCGACTGTCAAGTCAATGGGCGGGCAATTGGGCGGCGATTTGGCGTATCGATATCGAAAAGGCCTTTACACACATGCTGGAGCGTGTGCGTGTGTATGTGTCTATATGACAGCAGTCTTAAAAGATACATATATCGCATTTAAAGATATTTTATGTTCTCAAATTCACGGACTTAACGTGGCTTAAAACTAAAAAAAAATCCTGTAGGTTATAGCTTATACATAACCAGATCCTTGCTTCTTACGATTTTTAAAATTTTGAGTTAAATGATTTAATGTGTGATTAGCATACCCTGTACATGCCCTGTACAAGCTTCTTCTAACCCAATAAGTATACGATAATTATTTTCACAGAAGTAAAAAAAATAGCTAATCAACTTTTAACTCTTAATATGTTTCGATAAAGCCCTACAACTTGTTATCTGTCATTAAAACTACTTGATAATAATGTGATATATATCTGCCTTTACCGTGAAAAGTTACTTTGCTTAATGCACATAATTCTCAAGCTGCGGCAATTTGCCAAAAACTAAGGAGAAAACGTTTTTGGGAACTTTTGCTTATGACTTATGGTCACCAACTTGAGGTCGACATTGCCACCGCCATGTTGTTGTCTTTATTAATGCCCTGTGGCGAATGGCGCTGCCAGAATCCCATCTACGAAACGCCCAAAACACCCAGCTACCACACCGCGCCCTGCAGTCTGCCAGGGCAACCGAAGAAACACATAAGTAAAATTCGTAATAAACTTGTGCTCATCCACATCCTCAGTTTGTTGTGCGCCTCTGGCTGTGTGTGTGTGTGGGTTTTATTGTTTTATTTGTGTGTAGATTCATGTTTGATTTTTTTATTTTTCTGTTTTGCTGCCATTTCTTGTTGTTGTGTTTCTTTTATTTGTTAAATTGTGTAGTGAAAAATCGCTCAAGGCCCTGGAATAGAGACGCAGAGTCGAGGCCCTCCTAAGGGATTTTATTTGTATATTTTGGGCTTTTTCTAGTTGGTTTCTCCTTTGGCTTCATATTGTTAGCTTGATTTCGGTTGCTCGCAGCGCTCTGCGCTCTTGACATACAAAAAGATATTTTAATAAAAAATGTTGACTGTCTGTCTCTCAGTGTGTCCGTCCGTCTCTCGCTGCCAAATGGAGGGTGGCATTAATTTTGATTGTCTTACTCGCAGTTTTAACCCCTTGTTTAGTTGGCAAAGCTTTTTATGAAATTGAAAAAGTTTTTCAATAAAGTTGGCCGACAAAAAACATTTAGCCAGCTTATGCATTAGGCTATATTAATATCTAGTTCACAGTTTTTTTTTTATTTTTATATATGTCAGGTTGGACCTCTTTGCCAGCTCAGCTCGTCGCATAATTTGGGGTCAGGCGACGGCACAAATTGCATTTCACTAAATGATTTTGGACAGCTTGACCACTACAGCACATCATTTGCCGCGGGCGGGTGCTCAACTGGTGCCACTCTGTCATATTTTCTTGCCTGCCACATAAAGTGGCACAATGATTTTCTAATA